GATTCACTCACAAGTCTTTAAAATTCATGTAGTAGATGGTTGTGCTGAAATGGTCAAGGGTCATTCGGATTGGACATACTTTGTGGGAGGTTGGGGGTTTGGTTTAGATCGACATGTCAATCCGCACGACTAGGTCGTGACGGTCACATGGTTTGGAGCTGAGTCACTGGGGTGGGGGTGATCCACTTGCGGCCAGGGTAATTGGAGGGCTTGAACGAATTTCATCTGTGTACAAAGTGCAAGTGCGAAAAGACGGATGCTAAACGCCGCTCCGGTGGCCAGTATGTGTAAGCGCACGTGTTTGCGGGGATTAAGGGGCACTCGATAGACGAATTTGAATGTCGAATCTGTGCTTAGTTGATGACCTGTGTCTACCAGATGCCCGAGACTGGCCCTCCGTATGGTTCCTTTTCCTCCATGTTGTTGCCACCATGGACAATGTTCCCTAATTCTTTGGGATGGTTGCCTTGCCATTCAGTCAATGTAGGTTGCATTACTGTTGGACTTCAACAAACAGATTGCCATTGAGATGGCCAGCATTGGCAGCACCTCCCTATTATAATTTCGGACGATCGGAGAGCTTATGAATACACAGGAAACGCAAGCTGAATTGAATGTTCCACTCACCGCACGTGTTGAAATTCTGTTGACAAGGTTCGATGTGGCGTCTCCTTTGAACGGCATACGGATAAACAGTTTCTTCTTGAGGACGTCATAACTTGGAGCACATTTGGGTCTATCCCTCAGATTCTGTTCTATAAAGCGCTCAGGGTTGAGTTTGTGATAAATAGTTTTCGAACTGAATTTCTGTTCCTAAATGACTTATTTGACGACGTGGACAGAAAAAACACACCGAGCGATAACGCGTCGGTGAGTGCCATTCCCGGGCATCTGGTAGACACAGGTCATCAAATAAGCACAGATTCGACATTCGCTTACACATACTGGCCACCGGAGCGGCGATTAGCATCCGTCTTTTCGCACTTGCACTTTGTACACAAATGAAATTCGTTCAAGCCCTCCAATTACCCTGGCCGCAAGTGGATCACCCCCACCCCAGTGACTCAGCTCCAAACCATGTGACCGCCAAGACCTAGTCGTGCGGATCGACATGTCGATCTAAACCAAACCCCCAACCTCCCACGAAGTATGTCCAATCCGAATGACCCTTGACCATTTCAGCACAACCATCTACTACATGAATTGTAAAGACTTGTGAGTGAATCATTGAGAGCAATTGTTTGTCTCTGAATACGTGTTCTGATGTCACCATATGTATATTCAGGAATCTAAAACAATAGGAGCTAGTGCCGTTGCTTTGGTGGATCTATTGTCGATAACGAAAAAAACCGCTCAACAGGAAAATAAATTGAGCATTTGCACAAATTGGTGAGGAATGGTTTTTCTCTCCTGCCGACACACCAAAATGCGTCCCAACCGTTAAGAAAGCGAGTATAATAAACGGTTCATACTTTTTATGAAATTACGAGAAAGCTCAGTATGTTACGGAGGCGTAGGCATTATGGGTTGATCATGAGGAATATTACGCAAATTACTACGGGTCAGAAATACTTGGCCAAATTTTCACATTTAAGACAAGTATCTTTTAAAAATCTTCCTAACGGATACAGCGCCGGCGACATGCCGGAATATGTACGAGTCTTTCTTATCAAAAATGTTGATGGCCACTCTCCCTAGGTATCCGGTAATTATTTCGTCTTTCAGGACTGCCTGAAAAATTTGGAGGGAATAGGTGAGAGGGTGACCGCACACCACATGATGATTAAATGATTGAAGTCATGAGGTTTAATGGGACTTCTAGAGTTTAAAAATACCGGGAGTAGAAAAATAAAAAAGCAGGCACTTTGGAAGAATCGTCGTAGGTGACTATGGGAATGGGAGACTCAACCTCCTAATTGAATATTAGGTTGAGAGCTTTTTCATGTAGATGAAAACCCATGTTCATTTGTTGTTGACCTTTGTGTCTCTTGGTAGTTTCATTTTTTAGAAGTTTGCGTAAGCATTTAATTCACCCTGGATAGCTCGATTTTTGATCGACTTCGTCAGGTCCTTGTCCCTGTGCAATCCCTGCAATAAAAGACGCATTATTTTCGGCAAAGAAATCGTTCAAAGTGAAGAACTAGGAAATGATTAGAATGAACGTGAAGATTCTCGATAGGATGTCGAGGGTCAAAGTGAAAATCAGTTAACTTCCAAAATCATCCGAAATGGGAACGCTGGAGTGCACAGAAACTTCAGTTTGACTATTTGTTTCATTTACGATATGTCTCCCACTATGGCAACTGGATTAAGCTCAAAATATGAAAATTGTAAGTGAAGACTACTTAAAGCAACAAGTATGCTTCAACCATCCGGGAGAGTTTCGAACATTAGTGTTGCTCATAATACAGATTGATGGTTTTAAAGGATTACTGATCAAGGCTTGGTTCAGATATCATCGTGAGATTCCAACCACTAATGCTGACTTCCTTTCGACAGC